ATTCCTCTTGATAGAGTCCCACATAATTCTTAGGGTTTCTTCATTTTTTTTAATCCTTTTATCTGATTTATCCTCAAATAATTTGGTGTCAAGTGCTTTATCTTCAATCTCACTAATTCTGACTTCCATTGCCTCAGTTCTGCTCCTGTGACTTTCTATTGAGTTGTCTAATTCTAAAATTTTATTATTAATCTTCTGGATTTCTGATGGTTGTCTCTCTGTGGATCTTGCAGCCTGTTAAATTTGTCGTTATGCTCTTCTCTAATCTTCTTAATTTCCTCTATTTCATGTTCTGTGTTTTGATTAATTTTTTTCCTAATTTCTTCAAGAGTTCTGTATGTTAATCTTTTGTATTCTGCCTCTGGTAATTCCAAGAAATTTTCCTCCTCTGGAAAATTTCTAGATTCTTTATTTTGGGAGCTTGCTGAAGCCATCAGGGATTGACTCTTTATGTTATTTGATATTGACTGTTGTCTCTGAGCCATCAATAAGTTATTATATTTATTCATTTAATGTTTGCCTGCTGTATCCTAGCTTCTTGTTTTGTTTTGATAAGCCCAGATAGGTTGCTCGTATGAGCTAGTTTGATTATTGGTACCTTTGAAGCTTTAATGTCCTGTCACCAGGTAGTTAGATCTGTTACTAGATCCGTGAGCTCAGGAGTCTGCTCACTCCTCCTGTATGGATTCAGCTCAGGTGCCCAGGTAGATAGCCACCAAGTGTGTGGTGTAGGTTCTCGCTTACAGTCCTAGACAGGCATGGGTGATTGGTGTAGGCACAGGCACCTAGCTGCAGTAGGGGGACACACTCTGAGCAAGGCAAGGGGCTGACGGCCGCCCCCAAGTGCCCAGGAGGGCATGTCCCTGTTCCCTAGAGTGTGTAGGGTGGGTTTTGCAGCTGCACTATGAACACCCAGTGCTATTGGCTGTAAGGACTGGCGGGAACCTCTTATTCATAGGCCCCTCTTGCACGTGGCTAGGTGGCGTGGGTGGAGCCACCAGTCCTCAGGCCCCTGATGTGGGTAGGTGAAGACCCTGCTCAGTGGGCTGAGCAGTGTCAAATGTCAAGAACCTGCTACTTCACAGCTGAAACAGTTGAAGTTAGAGTTCCGGTATATACCCTGTTTTACTGCAGTAATGAGGGCCTACACTGTTGAGATGGGCCCACACAAGTCTATGCAGGGGGAAAGGCACTCAAAGTCCATGGATCCCTTATGCCTGTGCCTAGGCAAAGGAGCTGTGCCTACCATGGGTTCCTGGCTTAGGGGAGCCGGCAGATTATTTTTTCCCGTTTGTTAATTTGTTTACTCTACAAGGCTGGGAGAATGGCTCCGGGTGTGTGACAGATCCTACTTCCAGCCCAGGGGACTCGGCAATTGCTGAAGCCAGTCCAGGGCCCAGTGCAGAGCAGGGAGCGGGGAGGTAAATGGGAGAGAGGTTTTTTCCCTAAGGGGGATGTTTTTAATCCGTATGGTAAGCCATACGCAAGTACTTAACTTTCGTGGAGGGCTGCTTCTCACTGGTGGCCATGTAGACTCTCTGGTGCTGGGTCTCTCCAGTGCAGAAAACATGCCTCGGGAGTATGGCTCCTTGCCTGCCTCACCGCTCACCCCTGAGCAGATCAGGCCTGAAGGGCTCAGGCTCTCGCCAGGTCAGGTCTGGCAACTCCTTGCTGCTTCCCAACTGTCTCTTCCTCCCCCTGCCTCTCAGTCCGGTTCCTCAAGTCTACCTTTGATGTTCAGGGTCCCCAGATTGCCATATATAATCGAATCACTTGGTTTTTTGGGTCTTTGTTGTAAGAGGGTCCACCAGAAGTGTCTGAGTACTCTGCCATCTTGGCCCGACCTCCCGTTTTTACAGTCTTTTAAGTGCTGGAATAATTTCCTGTCCAAGAGCCCAGCTGTTAAGCTTACCTTCGGATCTCTTGGGTCTTGGAACGGCTTGGAATAGAGAGCAGTTCAGCTGGTGGTGGGAGTGGGTGCTGGCCACAGACTTCATAGGTGGGAATCAGATCAGGATTCTAATCACACTCCGTCCACAAGATCCCCAGTCACCTTTGACCTGAACGTTTATTTCCCTCTTCTAGGACCAAGTCCGGGCTGCCATGACTTGTATTCGGTTCTTCAGTCACAAAGCAAATACATATACAGAACTAGGAGAGAAGCTCTCATGGCTGCTTAAGGCCAAGGACCACCTGAAGATCTATCTCCAAGAAACATCCCGCAGCACCGGAAGAAAGAAAACCACGCTATTCCGAAAGAAGATGACTGCAGCTGACGTGTCGAGGTATGTGAAGGTTCAGGGGATAATCAGCGTGGAGCAGAAAGGACTGGGACTGAATGTCTATTGGTGACAAAGCTGTTCTTGCTGAGTCCTAGAACTCTTGAGAAAAACATCCAGAAGGAATCGTCCCTCAATGATAGTGTCTAGTACAAGCCTGAAAGGCTAGAGAGGTACTTTTGGGATTACATAATCAGACTAAACGGCAAACTCCTTTCAATAGACAAGAAAGCTCATGCAGGACCTGGCCGCTTCCTCCCTCTCCGTCTTTATTTCATGCTATTCTCTCTGTCCTTGCTAAGCTTCCAGTCACACTGGCCTTCTGAGGGTTCCTTACACACCAAGTCCTTTCCTGCCTCTCAGCTTTTAGGTTTCCTGATCCCTCTGCTTAGAACACACCATCTAAAGTAAGCACCCCACCACTGCCATTTATTGCCTTCATAGGCCTAATCATTGAGTGTTTTATGTGTTTATTTTCTCTCCTCTAGCCTGTATACTCTGTGAGGGCAGAGTTCATGTCCCTCTTGACTTCTGTTCTATTACCAGCTAACATAGTACCTGGCACATTAGTATTCAGTAAATCCTTATTGACTGAACGACTGGACCTTGTCCAGTTCCATGGTGCACCTTAACTATTGTGAGTCTGTACAAGGCACTGGTAGTTGTTGTTACTTGCTGTTGAGTCAGCTCTGACTGATAGCAAACTATGTACAACAGATTGAAATGTTGCCCAGTCTTGGACCATCTTTATAATCATTGGTATGTTTGAGTCCATTGCTGCGGCTGTTGTGTCAATTCATCTCATTGAGAGTTTCCCTTGTTTTCATTGGCCCTCTACTTTAGCAAACATGATGACCTTTTCTAGCAATTGATCTTTCCCGGTGACATGGCCAAAGCACTAGACTACCTGTTTTTGTCTTGTCATAACTGCTCAGAGTATTTTGGATCTCTTTTCCTTCATTATCATTTCCTTTGCCTTTTCTCTTGCCATTTTATTATAACTTCTTGGTCACCGACCCCTAGTGACAGCACTCCTGAAGCCCCTTATGAGGCTAAACTGTGTGTCTCTGTTACTGTAGGCACATGAATACACTCCAGCTACAGATGGAAGTGACCAGGTTCTTACATCGGTGTGAAAGTGCTGGGACCTCTCAAGTCACCAGCTTGCCTCTGCCAACCCTGTTTGGAAATAACCACATGAAAATGGATGTGGCCTGCAAGGTATGTATGATGGTTCAGACCTCAGGCAGACTGTTCTTCTCTCAAGACACTTTTCACAATTGTAATCGTCCAGTTAGGATTCAGTTGTTTGTTTGATGGCGCCTCCCCACTCAAATATGAGCCACAGAAGGCTGGAGTCAAGTCCATTTTGATCATTCATTTTGTGTCCCTAGTGCTTGGCAATTAGTGGGGTCTCAACAAATATTCGTTGAATAATTGAATATTATTCCTGATTGAACAGTTAATCCAATAGTTATTGCTTCTTTAATTACCGATCTTCCTCCCCTTTTCAGGTCATGCTGGGAGGGAAAAATGTAGAAGATGGTTTTGGAATTGCATTTCGTGTTCTACAGGTATGAATCGGATTACTTGAGATTATACCAGGGGCAATCAGCACCTGACCCCAGTTCTGTGAGAGATTATTCTTCAGAAAATATTTATCCCAAGAAAAGCAGATTTACATGCACATCAAGTATGAAATCAAGGAGATGGCTATTCTAGAATTGGGTCACATTCAAGACTCGAGGCCAATTTGCCAGAAATCAAGTAGACAACGACAAATCCATCAAAAGCTATTGAATAAATACCTTAAACTAGGTCTAGGACATGTCCCCACAGCTGCACAGCCTCTGCACAGCCCTGCACAGCCTCTGCTCGCCCTCCCAAGGGAACATGGCAAGAGGCGGGGCCCAAGAGTTTTCTGCGCATCAGAAGAGTCACTGGCAGCAAGGGCTGCCCCTCCATCCTCTGTGTGTACAGGAGCCAGCTCTGGGAGCACATTTCCTATTGCTTATGATAAAGGACACAGGTGTGGCGGTGACACACCAGATCAGGGGCTAGAGCAGGGTCTCTCCAGACACCAACCCCCCGATACCGACACCCTGGGAGCCGACTGAGGAGATCACTGGTCTACCAAGAAGGTGAGGTGTCCACGCACTGTGCATGTCTAAATGGCTTTGTAAGTAATCGGTCAGGTTTCTTTCTTCGCACACCTTTCCAGTGTTGAACAAAGCTCTCCACACACAGGTTACCCCGAGTGAGCAGACAGAGGGCAGCTCCTTACAGGGCTGGAGGCTTAAGTGTTGCTGTAGAACAAGTTTAAGGTGTTTATCTGGCACTTCCCAGCAAATCCCTCGTTTGATGAATTGATCTATTTCCAAACAGAAAGGCATCTCACAACAGAGCTCCAAGTCTCCAGGGCAGCAAACACTAGCCCCCAACATCTGTTTCTCAATAAAAGGTGACTCAGGAGAGAGAGAATGAACTGATTTGATCTGCTTGATTAGAATATTTTCAGAAAGTGACATGGCAGCAAGCGCGATACACTATTTTAGACATTACGATTGGGATTTTTGTGGCTGCCTCCTAACTGTCTGCCTAACTGTAACTCCAAAGCGAACCTTTCAACTTGTATTTTTCCTTATACAGTCAATCCTCATTATTCATAGATTCCATATTTGCAAATTCGTCTACTTGTTAAAGTTTATTTGTAACCCTAAAATCAACCCTCAGGGGCTTTCACAGTCATTCGTGGACACGTGCAGAATGATGAAAAGTTTGAGCTGCCCTATGGACACATTCCCAACTGAGGTCGAGCAAGATGACACTCTGCCTTCTTGTTTTGGCTCTCGTGCTGTAAACAAGTGTCCTTTTTGCAGCTATTTAGTGCCACGGTTTTTGCGTTTTTGTGCTTTTTGTTGGTGATTTTGCTGTTTAAAACAGACCCCAGGCATAGTGCTGAGGTACTATCAAGTGTTCCTAAGTACAAGAAGGCTATGATGTACCTTAAGGAGAAAATACATGTGTTGGGTAAGCTTGGTTCAGGCATGATTTATAGTGCTATTGGGCATGAGTTCAGTGTTCATGAATCAGCAGTATAAAACAAGGTGTCTTTAGACAGAAACACATAGAAAACAAGATTATGTGTTTAATCAGTTGATAAAAATGTGGCCAGAGGCTTTCAGGAAGCTGACCCTGTATTTTCCCTGGAGCAACGGTTCAGTACCCAGTAATTTAGCGTTTGCAACTTTATAGAACCGCAACTACCGTAAATAACGAGAATCGACTTTATTTGTATCTGCTAGTTTGACTACAATCAATATGGTTTATCTATGCCATATTAAATATTAAATGTTGCTCCCCTTCCCAGTGTTGTTGCCCCCTGCCATTTTAAGCCCATCATCCCATGTTGTCATCTAGGACTTCCAGCTGGATGCTGCTGTTACCTACTGCAGAGCTGCCCGGCAGTTGGTGGAGAGACAGAAATACAGTGAGATCCGGCAACTGCTAAAGTGTGTCAGTGAGTCAGGCATGGCAGCCAAAAGTGATGGGGACACCATCCTCCTCAACTGCCTGGAAGCATTTAAGAGAATTCCACCCCAGGTATGCTCACTCCCATACCTCAGCTCTGCCTGTCTACTTCAGTGTCTTCTTAGTTATCTAGTGCTGCTATAGCAGAAATACCACAAATGGGTGGCATTACCAAACAGAATTTTATTTTCTCATGGTTTAGGCATCTAGAAGTCTGAATTCAGGGTGCTGACTCTAGGGGAAGGTCCTTATTCCTTGGCTCCTTGGTGATCTTCATGTGGCTTAGCATGTATCTTCCCCCATCTCTGCTGGCTAGCTTGCTTGTTTAATCTCTTTTATACAGGCAGTCCCCAGATTATGAATGAGTTCTGTTCCTAAGTCTGTTTTTAAGTCAAATTTGTACATGAGTTGCAACAGTTAGGTACGGGGTTCATACCTAATGTTAGTTAGTCAATTGTTTGTGTTAGTATATAGTATGTAATATACTTTCTATGTATAAAATACATTAAAGAAACACTTCTAGATACACTAAAACATCTTTAACATAATAATAATGCTTTGATGGGCACCACAAAGTAGTTTGTTATTACAAACGATTGTATATACCTCGAATTTTTAATGTAATAGGCTTTATGGGGGTTGGTTTGTAACTGCGGGTTGCACGTAGGTCAGATGTTCCTAACCCAGGGACTGCCTATATCTCAAAAGAGATTGACTCAAGATACACCCTGCACTAATCTTGCCTCATTAACATAACAAGGACAACCCATTCCCAAATGGAATTACAACCACAGGCATAGAGGTTAGGATTTACAACACATATTTTTGAGGACACAATTCAATCCATAACATTCTACCCTTTGGCCCCCCAAAATTCATGTCTGGCCATATATGAAACACATTCACACAATCACATCATCCCAGAAGTCTTAAATCAATTCTAAGTCCAAAATCTCATTTTCTGAATCATCTGAATCAAATATGGGTGAGACTTTAGACATATTTCATCTTGGGGCAAAATGCCTCTTCATCTGTGAACCTGTGATATCTAGACTACAAGTTATCTGTTTCCAAAGTACAATGGTGGAAGAGGCAAAAGGTAGACATTTCCATTACAGATGGGAGAAATTGAAGGGAAGGAAGAGATAACAGGCACCAAGCAAGTTCAAAACCCAGCAGAACAATTTATATTAGCTCTCAAGTCTTGAAAATAATACCCTGTTCTTTGGGACCATCTGGGCAAGAGCCCCACCCTCCAGACTCTGGGCATTGGCCACGCCCTCTGGATTCTGGATAGAGGCCTCTTGGCCCTGGGCTTCAGCTCTGCCTTCCAGGCCCACTGAGATAGCAACTCGGCTCCGTTGGCTTTGGGCAGCCCCATATTCCTAATCTATCTGAGTGGTGACCCTACCCCCTCAGCCCCAGCAGGCCCCATTCTTCTGCCCTTGAACATGGCAGCCCCGCCCCCTCAGCTTTGTGTAGTGGCCCTGTCCCCCTGGCACTCGGAAGTGGCAGCCCCACACTCAGGAACTGAGTTGGTGAAGGTTTGACTTTTTTAAACCTAGGAGGCCTCGACCCCACCCTTTGAAACCATTGCAGCCCTGCTGCCCATGCTTCTCCCAGCCATTCTGCTGACTCTGAGCTGCTCCAGGGATGGCCCTTTTCTTGGAGGACAACAAATATAGCTCCTTTGGCCTGTTTCCTGCCTGTAAAATTCCAAGAGGCAGACAGTGTTCTTTCCTTTTGTTCTTTCTCTGTCCCCTTCAGTCTAAGGTGATGGGTTTTCTGCTGGTTAGATCCATCATTCACAGGTTTAATCTCTTTAACAAAAGATTGTGTAGACACATCCTTAGTCAGCATTCTAGGGCATGTGTCCTTAGTTTGTAGAACAGAATTTCCCAAATCTTTAAGTTCTGTTTTCATGTTGTACAGTTCATTTTTAAGTCCATCTCTTTTCCTCTTGCATTTTACCATAAGCAGCAAGGAGAAACCACCTGGCCCCTTTAAGATCTTGCTTAGAAATCCCATCAGCCAGCTATCCATGTTCATCACTTACAAGTTTTACCTTCCACCAAACATTTGAGCATAATTCATACAAGTTCTTGGCCACTGCATTAAAAGCATCACCCTTCCTCCATTGTCCAGTCACATGTTCATCATTTTCTTTTAAAGCCCCACTAGAAGCACATTTAATGTCCATATTTCTAGCAACATTCTGTTGCTGGTGCCGTGTGTATTCTCTAAGACGATAGAGACTGTCTCTATAGCTCTCCTCACTTCCTTCTGAGCCCTCACCAGAATTGCCTTTGACATCCATAATTTTACCAACAGTCTCTTCAAGGCAATCTAGGCTTTTACTATGAAGCACACCAAAATTTTTCCAGCCTCTACCCATTACCCAATTCCAAAACTACTTCCACATTTTAGGTATCTGTTAGAGCAGCATTCCATTCTTGATACCAAATTCTGTCTTAGTTATTCAGTGCTACTATAACAGAAATACCACAAGTAGGTGGCTTTAACGAACAGAGATTTATTTTCTCACAGTTTAGGAGGCTAGAAGTCCAAATTCAGGGTACTGGCTGTAGGGGAAGGCTTTCTCTCCCTGTCAGCTCTGGGGGAAGGTCCTTATTCCTTTGCTCCTTGGTGATCTTCATGTGACTTAGCATGTGTCTTCCTCCATCTCTGCTTACTAATTTGCTTGCTTAATCTCTTTTATATCTCAAAAGAGGTTTACTCAAGATACACCGTACACTAATCCTACCTCATTAATATAACAAGGACAACCCATTCCCAAATGTATTGTAACTACAGGCATAGAGGTTAGAATTTACAACACATATTTTTGAGGACATAATTCAATCCATAAGAATCTTTACACCCCCTCCTCATTTTTCTGTTCTCCACAATGTTCCTGAAGCTCCACAGGATACCTTTATCCTTCTGACCCTTCTACAATAATGATCCCACTCTAATCAACCCTTCTCTGCAAAGAAAAAATCACGGTTATAACCTCCATACCCAGAAGATGTCCCTCAATATCCTGTTATCTAATATCGTTTGCATCTGGCAGTATCTATGGGTCAGCAGAGTTGAGCTTCTCCCTGCAGTTCTAGAGAAGGTCAGGATGGGCCTGAGGATAGCCTTTGAAGCATGCTGTTTGCAAAATTACCCCAAATGGCATCTTTGTGGGGTGAACAGAAACCAATCCATTTGTGAAAACCAAGGATAGGCCTCTTGGGAGCTTTGCCTTTTCCCCAGTTTCCCCAAGCTTAGCGTTATCTGTCAGATTTCCTTCGTTGCTCTTATATCAGGAATTGAATTTAAAAAGAAGAGTCAGACAGACATCCCCAACCTGGAGTCAGAATGGCTAAGCTAAAACTGCACTGGGGCCTGGCTCCCATGCTGGGGGACTGTCTCTCACACCTGCTGTGTTTCTCTTTTGTATAGGAGCTAGAGGGCTTGATCCAGGCAATCCACAATGATGACAACAAGGTGAGCAGAATCATCTCCAAACCCTGGTGATGCTAATGAACAGCATGTCAGGCTTGCCTTGTTGTTTATTTCCCTTGCTCCCTTAACAGCACCATTCATCCTTGAATCTCAACTTCTTTGTTATCCATAGGTGAGGTTGATACTTGGATAGGAATGTAGAAGGGAAGGAGTAGTTAAGGGAACATGTGAACATCAACTGCCTTCCCATTTCTTTATCCCCAAGACAAACATATCCTAGACTACTCTTAAATTACCAGTTTATACTGAGGTATTGTCTCAGAGAACCCCAGGAAAACCCTCACTTCCATCGTTAGGGTGACTGACTGAATGAGGTTCCCAGAATGGCAGGTGCTTCCATCCTATGGAAATATGAGGTGTTGTTCATTAGCATTATCCTGGGGGAGAGAGGGTACCCTCTACTATAAGAAAGCCCACCCAACCTTTTGACCAACAAAGTCCATTGATATCTCATTCTCCAGAATGAGCCTCTCCCCTGAGGCCAGTGGATTCTTCCCTGTATTGTCAGAAACTGGTGAACCTTTACTTCGTATTGCCTTTGTGATGAATGCCAGCCAAGGTAAAAGTGCTACCTGCTGCCCCTGTTTGTGGCTAACCACAGGTTCAGTCCTCCTGCCATCTGGAGGATTGCCCAATGGGCCAGGAGAGGCACAGGAAAACCAAGCCAGACTTTGAGCTGCCCTTTCCACCAGCAGTAGAGTGATCTGACAGATGAGACCTTCATGAAGAAAATTAATGTCAGAGGCCAACAGCTTCTTACACAACCACAGAGCTGCTGTGGCTGTATTGCTGATAACCGGACTCAGTTGTCAGGGCATTTTTCAGTTGAGAGGTAGGAAGAACATATTCTAAACGTTTCTTCATTTATTTCTGCAATATCCAAATGAGATCCTATGGCATAGATGGAAGAAAACTGTTAATTTTCTGAAATGTGGAGAATTACTTTCCAAGAACCAGAATGAGAAACCAACAGCCAGGACATTCACCCAGGTCCCTGATTCCCAGACTGCGTTCTTTTCCAAGCTTTCACTGAGCTTCACACTCAACACAACAGAAGCTTTGTCCCTAGGGAAGACATAAATCACTAAAATCTATACAGTTCTTACCACTTTTTAAGCCTTTTCTCTCTGCAGCCATTCCGACGCACTGAGGTGAACTCAGGCCAAGGAGTCTTGCCAAAAACCAGCTTTATTCAGCTCCTCTTGCAAACTTAGGAGCCCTGGTAGTGCAGTGGTGAAGCACTGAGTTGCTAACAAAAAGGTTGATTGTCCGAACTCATCAGCCGCTCCACTGGAGAAAGATGTGGCAGTCTACTTGCGTAAAGATTACAGCCTTCGAAACCCTATGGGGCAGTTCTACTCTGTCCTATAGGGTCACTATGAGTCGGAATTGACTCAACAGCAACAGGTTGCAAACTCTTTGGCAAATTGTCCTTCTTCTCTTGGTAGGAATTTTGCCTGCCAATTTGTGATCTATATTAACACACCTGCAGTATACATTTAACACGCATGGGCGTTCAATGGGCCTTGCAAGGTCTAGGGGAGAGCTAACGTCCCAGGGCAGCGAGGAGATGCCCCACACAGCAGAACTTGGTCACCTTAGTGAGCACAGACATCTTCTGACTTCTAGGAGATTATCTGTAATTGAGCTTAGACAGGAAAGAAAGATGACTTTAGTGACCAAGACAAAAAGAAATTGGAGCACTGAAACACAAAGAGACAAGAACCCCTTCTACTAGCCAGGAGGGACTGTCACGGCAGAAAGGCAGCTGCTAGTGGAAGATCTCTGATGGCTTGATAGGGCCTTGCAGGCCACAGCCTAGAACACTGGCTAACCAGGCAACGGTGCTGCTGAGATCAAGGCCAGGGAAGGGAGGGGCTCCCACCTCACCTGGGTTTCATGAGAGAGAGGGCTGCAGTGGGATCCACTGCTGACCCAAACAACAACAGTCAAGTCAACCTGGGATTAGACCTCAAGTACACCTTTTCTGATTGTGTGTATTCATTTTTCTCCCTGAAATTCCTTGCTAAAGGGTTTTTTTTTTTACATTTCTTTTTTTTTAATTTTTTGTTGTTGAAAATATACACAGTAAAGCATACATCAATTCAGCAGTTTCTACATGTACAATTCAGTGACATTATTTACATCCTTCAAGTTGTGCAACCATTCTCACCCTCCTGTTTCAAGTTATTCTTCCCACATTCACATAAACTCAAACTGCCCCCTAAGCTTCCTAGCTAACCTTTCGAGTTGCTGTCGTCAGTTTAATCCCTTATAGATAGTTCCTTAAAAGAGCATAATGCTCAAGGTGGACATTTTTTTACTATTTAAGCTGAACTATTGTTTGGTTTTAAGAAGACTTCAGGGAATATTTTTGGTTAAAGTTTAAAGATTATCTCAGGGCAATAGTTTCAGGGTTCATCCAGCCTTCATGGCTCCAGAAAGTCTGGAGTCCATGAGAATTTGAAATTGTGTTCTTCATTTTCCCCCTAGAGATAAGATTTCTCTAGAGAGTCCTTGATCAAAATGTTTGGTAATGGTATCTGGGCACCATTACCGGTTTCATGGCAAAGGAGGCAACTGTTCATGGAGGCGATTAGCCACACATTCCACATTCTCCTCCTATTCCTGACTCTCCTTCTTCCTCTGTTGCTGCAGACAAATAGAGATCAATTGTTGTGCCTTGGTTGGCTGCTTGCAAGCTCTTAAGACCCCAGGCACTACACAACTTGCTACAGGATTTTTAATTAGCAGGTTGGAAACAGACAAGATGGAGAAGGGAGATCTGTGTGCTCATTGTAGGGGATGGAGGTGTAATCATTCATTCACTCATTTAATACATATTTATTGAACACCTACTACATGCTAGACCCTGCGCTAGGTACCAGGAATACAAGAGGTAGAAGAAGAAGGCACTGTTTCTGGTCAAGGAGATAGGCATTAATCAAATAATCACCCACATAACTACAGTCCCAGCGTGTGGGCAGTGACACCGCTGGCACTGATGCCAGGAGGAAGCTGGGGCACCTGGAATAGGAAGGGGAAGTCCTCAAGGGAGTGGGCAGAGGCCAGACTTTGCCTGCTACCTTTTCCTTTTGGAAATTCTTAGTTCATTTTTTTCTTAGTTTATTTTTAATAACTTTTTATACTGTAAAATAATACAATATAAAAGCTTTGTGTCCAGAATATTTAAACAGCTGTTATACTGTACTGAAAGGCATTATTTATAAGTGAGCAGTGAGCTTTCCGCTACAGCCCTATGTATTTGTTGGCGATTTGTTGGTGATGCTCTCCGTCCTCTTGCTCCTATATCTGATTGCCAGGTTCAGGCCTACCTGACATGTTGCAAACTGCGTTCCGCCTACCTGATTGCCGTGAAGCAAGAACACTCACGGGCCACTGCGCTTGTCCAGCAGGTGCAGCAGGCCGCCAAGAGCAGCGGGGATGCGGTGGTGCAAGAGATCTGTGCCCAGTGGCTTCTGACAAGCCACATCCGGGGAGCCCACGGCTCAGGCCCCAGAAAGTGACCCTGGGCAGTAAGGCCAGAAAAACGCAGTCTAAGAACTGTGGTGACAGGAGTGATGGTGATGCTCCCACCTCTTTCCTCCTAAGGAGTGGGACTCCCTCGTCTCTGCTCCCCGGTTGGGAAGAGCTAGACTGGACCCTGCTTGCCGCCGTGGGCAAGGATGGAACCTTTCACACAAGTGCCATGTTTCTGTAAAATTGTGGGGTCTGTGTGTGTTTGTCTGGAGATAGCCAGTTCTTTCTACCTCAGTGAGTGAGCGAGCGTGTGTGTGTACACGCACGTGCACGCACACGTGCATGCTCCTGTGCACTCGTGTTTATGCCTGAGCATTTCTGAGCAAATGAAACTCTTCCATTGAGAAGAGGCACTTTACTTTAGCCTTTCACCAGTCTGAAAGCCTTCCCTGCGTTCTGGTTCTTAACCTGGGTCATCCTGTTTGTACACAGCCCTCTCCACGCAGAGACACTTTAGTAGCTCCTCTTAACCAGAAGGGTTTTATAGAAAATTATCAAGCAACATCAAAAGGATTGCCTCTTTTTCCCTTGCTTCCCTTCCCAGAATTTAGAGATGGCTTTGGGGCCAGTATTATCTATGGACTAAAACTGTTTCCCAAGTGTCTCCTCTGACAAGCACAAGGAGTTAATGGGAGTCTTTGGAAGGTGGTGTGAGTGCATGGGTCCTCAGGGTGCTGGCATCTGAAAGCTGCAGATGCAGATATAAGTGATCAGGTCTGGAAGCCTGATACACAGGAAAGAGGGGCACCGTCACAGTAACCCAGAAGAGAGGAAATAGTGAACCTCTCCAATAGGGACACAAGTGAGTTGCCCACAAGCACAGAGCTGGCTCATTTGAACATCCCTGCAGCAAGGTTGGTGGGTGAGAGAATGTAGCTCCCTTTTTGAAAGTCACAGGAAAGGAAATTGGCAGCCAGGATCCTGGGACTGAATGGCCAGACTTTCCCTATTTGAGTTACAGTCCCATGAGTGCCCCTTGAATTGGCTGGGAAACCACTTCCTCTTCTCTCCTGCTTCCCTTCAGACTCTTCAGGGCCACGGGATGGATATGCAGATACCCAGGGGTCATTGGGAAACCAATAGTCTTCTTTTCTATGTCTTAAGAGTCTTGAGTTGGGTCTTTGTGACAAGAGAACGAGTGAACCAAGAGTAGTCCAAGTCCCATTGGTGGAAAACTGGGTGAAGTACTTCTTTAATATGCAGTAGCTTGTCTTCCCACCAGAAATTTGACCATTTTTTAGGAAGGGCCTGTCATTCTCAGTGACTTTGATCTGCAAACAAGGGGACCTAAAGAAAAGCTCTGAGCCTCCCACCAACCAGAACTCAGCCTGTCGATCTCACATTGGATACTGAGGCAAATGGGAAGTGGAAGCTGAAGTTGGTATCTCTGGTGCTTAGAAACCCTGTGGATTTCCCTCGTATCCAAGTTTTTAATAATAAACAGCTATTATGGACATCTGTCAGATTAAAAGTTTTAATCCTGTTAGAGGGGGAAAACTGCAAGCAAAATTCTAGGTCCCTTTTGGAGAAAGTTTGATGAGTGGCTTCTCCTTCCTTGAGTCATGGAATGGATCTGTCTCCCAGGAAACATCATTCCCTGGCATCGGCTTTTCCTTTTGAGTCTGCCCTTTTTGCACTGACCACAAGCACTTTATATTATGGGTTGCAAATTTTGCAGCCCTTAATTTGAGATGTTAAGACCAGACTTTGCCGACTTTTTCTCTTACCAGTTGAACTATAAAATAAGCAACCATTGACTAGACTGATACAGGATGAGGTTAAAGGCCTTTGAACATCATGCTGTGGTCCAGGAATAAAAAAGAAAAGAAACAATATGTATATGCAGAAGAGTTGAATGTTTTACTACAAGCAAGCCACAATAAAGTGTCCGTCCTACAAGTTTCTTATCTCCATGATTTCTTTGTACTGTCTAGCTCTTACTCTTTGCATTGTTTTTCCTTGTGTTCTTTGTGGAGAAAAAAGGTGGGTGGGAAAAATCAGATGGCCTTCAACTCTTGAACTTTCACTGAATGATCCCCATCTGAGTAATGACCCCTTTGGTTAGGATTTATCTCAAGTTCCCTATGTGTTAAAAACTATTATACACCTTTGCTACCGATTTTTGTTTTTCTTTTTTTTTTGCTTCATTTAGGGGTGAGGGTGAAGATAGGTAACACATTCATCAAGTCTAGAAGGTAAATGAAAAGTCTCTCCCATCCCTATCCCCTAGCCATCGAGTCCACTCCCAGAGGCCACCAATGTTAGTTTCTAGTGTATAGTTCCAGAGCTATTTTATGCATAACAAGTATTAATGACTAAAGCATTCTATGGGGAGGATGGGTTATAATTACTTAATCAGTCCTGATTGATGGACATTTTTATATGGTTGCCATCTTTTGCCACTACTACTTGGGCCACAGTGACTCATCTTGTACAAAATTGCTGGGTCAGGATATATGCCTTCCAAAGAGGTCACAGCAATTAACTGTCCCACCAGCAGTGTAGAAGAGTGCCCCAATAGTCATCAGACTTTGTAGATCTTTGCCAGCCTGATGGGTGAAATACTGTACTCTGAAACCTTTTCAAAAGCTGTTTTTGTTTTTTTTTTAGCTCTATGTGCCTTTTTTTTTTTTTTTAATCAACTAAATTGTGACTCTTTGAAACCAGGGATAGGGTCTTTGGGAAAAGCAGAATTCAAATTTAGCATAATATGTTTTCTTGTCCTCCTCTTGGAACATATGTTTACAGTATGATACTTGAGCAATGGACAGAAGCATTGTGCCATTGCCTCTTTTCCCCAGAAACATGATCTTGTCCAATTTCCCAATTTAAAAAAAAAAGCACAGCAAACACAAAGTAATGATGAAAGTAGACCTGAAAACCACCTGTGTGGACAAGATGTATCACAACACAGAAAAGTGGAACACCCAATCTAAATCTAGGATAGATGGCCACTGACTCTGTTTAGAAACCTGAGATACTCCAAAGTTACCAGACATCTTTGGCTGGAGCTTAAGTAAAGTAGATTAAAAGGCTATTAGACTCTTTTAATACCTAAGCAACCAAATACAAATAGTCATAGTAACCTTAGAGGAAATAACCTTTTCTTGGTCCTCGTTCCCTCTTCCATGTGACAAATTGGACTGACATCTTTGAAACTTCGGTTCTGTTACAACAAATTTATTCAGCACCTGGTTGCTGAAGGCTTTCTTTGGTGGAGTGGTTTTATACTCTATTTTTTTCATGCTATTATTTCTGCTTGGAACCCTTCCTTCAACTCCACCACTCTGCCCTTCAGTCTACTGTTTTCAAAACCCTTCCTTCAGGGCCATATGAAATGCCTTCTCCTACAAATTACTTTCTTCTCTGGCTATACTTCCTCTTCATCCCATTTAAAGGTAGAAATTCTTCAAGGTTCTATCCATTCTCTCTTGACACTGTTATACTCTCTCATACTACCCCATACCTTCAGCAATCATCTTTATTTTATCTTTGAGTTCTATACCAAATTTGTCCCCTGTAACGCTCTTCAACATCAGACCTGCGTTTTGGCTGCCTCCTGGAACTTACCCACATGTCTCGCTGTGGTGTGATGGATTACTTTTGTGTGACCTTTCTCGCCATGGTTTTATAACCCCACCCAAGTGATTGGCCCAGATTGTGCAAATAAGGTAATTGTGGCCCACCAAGAAATGGTCAGTTTTGCCATCCCACTAGGCTTAAAATGAGCCATCCCAGGGGTGGGAAAGGAGGATCTCACCACCACCAAGAAAGAAGAGCCATGAGTGGAGTATGTCCTTTGGACTCGGGATCCCTGCACTGAGAAGCCCCAGGAGACTTAGGGAGTGAGAGAGAGCTGTAACACTGAAGATGGAGAGAAGTGGCTGCAGAGAAATGGCAGCCATTTCTATCCCCCAGCCACCCGGTCCCATCCCAGAGGAGACAGTGCAGTGGGCTTCCTGGCTCATGGAGTGAGAATGCTGAGTGCCTTCAGGCAGGAGATTGCTGGCAGAGTACGGTTCCTCCAGGCACTTGGTGGAGTTAGGTTTGCCTACCCACTGAGCTAGAGCTGAGTACCTTTGGGCCAAGGCTTACGCAGAGTGGGGTGCCTTGGGGTACTTATCGGCAGAGCTGAAAGAGCTTTGTAACACGTGCCCGAGCAGAGCAGAGGCCAAGGGGCCAGAGAGAGGCATGCCTGTGGGCACGACTGAGAAGAGACTGTCCTGATGGGAGAACTGTATCCTGAGTGTTCTGAACTGGAATTGTAAACTGTTACTTCCCTAATAAACCACATAATCATGAGTATTGTCTGTGAATTCTGTATGGCCTTTACAATGAGTTATCAAACTCAGGAGAGAAGAAGAGAATGCCGTGGGAGGGACGGTTGGTGTCGGAACTGGTAAAGATGGTGGAGAGAGGAGGCATGTCTGAACTCTGCCTCATAGGAATCAGCCTTGGGCTGTTGATCTTGATTTTCCTTCTCCCTGGTGAAGTTAGAGGAGGTCAGAAGCCACCGTCATGCCATTTTTACACTCATCTATACCTAAAAACATTAGCACATCCCAAATGGAACACATCCTCTTCTACTCACAAACCTGATCTGCCCCCTTTGGTGAATATCACTATTAATTAATGTTCTTATTATTGTGGATGCTGCCCAGGTTAGGAACCTTGAGGGTTCACTGTGTTAACTATTTCTTCCCTTCTTCAATAAACATGCAAGTACCTACCATGCAGCAAACATATATCCAGTCAAAAACCAAGTCCTATCATCCTACTGGAGTTCTTGGGTGGCACAAACAGTGAGGGGCTCTGCTACTAACCAAAAGGTTGGTGGTCTGAATCCACGCAGAGGCACCTCAGAAGAAAGGCCTGGAGAGCTACTTCCAAAAGATCACAGTCATTTAAAAACCTTACAGAGCACAATTCTACTCTGAAACACATGGGGTTGCCATGAGTTGGAATCTACTCAATGGCAATTTTTTTTTTTTTCCAGCATCCTACCTTCCCAGTAGGAAGAACTATTCCTTCCACTTTATCACCTTAGTTCAGGCCCTTGTCACCTCCTTCTGATCATTGCAGAAGCCTCTTTCCACCACTTCAAACACCTATACTAGACTTGCGCCTCCTAGCAACTCCACATTAACAAGTGATAATAATAATTCAAAAAGAATAAACAGAATTCTCAATAATCTTGAGGTATAAAAATTATTTCTAAGCAGATACAAACTCAGAATCATTGAAAGACTTAATTTTTATGTTGTCACATTTATTGTTTATGGATTTTTTAAAATACCACTGCAAACAAAATTAAAAAGACCATGAAAACCTAGAAAAACATGTTTGTGATCTATATAACAAAAGCTTAAATTCTTTAATTTACAAAGAATTTCTACAATAAGACTAATATTAATAACCCAATTGAAAAATGTGTAAAGGATACAGGCAGTCTCTAGAAAAAGAAATTTGTGGTCAAACGAAAGAGATCAACTCATAAGAGAAACACAAATTAAATCACAATGAAATGTCACTTTTTGCTATTAGATTGGCAAAGGTCAAAAAGTTTGTTAACAGATTGTGTTGGCAAAAGTATGGGGAAATGGACACTCAGGTGCAGCTGATGGAAATGTGTATTAGTGCACTCTTTCTGGAGGGCAAGTTGGGAATATCTTTTAAAATTAGATATATAGAATTAAAATAGGGAACCAGAGATGTCAATCTGTAAATGATGACAACATCAAAGCAATAAAAGGGGGAATAAACAGTGTGGGTATAGAACTTGCAAATGCAGAGGAAGTCAAGGTGATATCAAGTAATAAAAGACTGGTTCAAACTTACGAAGATAAGGGTAAATTTCAAGGCAACCACAAAGAAAGTTAACAAAGCTACTTATCAAAAGAAAAAAAAACATAAGACTCAGTAAACACAAAATCTACAATAATGAAAGAAAAAGAAAATCGACATCAAGAGGAAAAAAAGAGGAACAAAGAAAACATCACCACAAAAAAAGCATGACAATAAGACAGCAATAAACTCATACTTACCGATAATCACACTGCATGTAAATCGCTTAAATGCACCAGTAAAGAGACGGAGAGTAGCAGAATGAATTTAAAAAAACAGGACTCATCAATATATTGTCTACAAGAGACAAGCTTTAGACACAAAGACATAAATATATTAAAGAATGCAAAAAAATACATCAAGCAACTAGTAACCAAAAAAGAGCAGGAGTGGCAATACTAATCTCAGATAAAATAGACTTTAAGGCAAAATCCATCATAAAAGACAAGGAAGGACATTATATAATGATTAAAAAGACAATCCACCAAGAAGACATAACCTTAATAAATATCTACACACCCAACTACAGAGCTCCAAAATAAGTAAAACAAACTCTAACAGCACTGAAAAAGAGAAATTGAAAGTTTCACAATCATAGTAGGAGACTTCAACACACCACTCTCAGTAAAGAACAGAACATCCAGAAAGAAATTCAACAAAAATACAGAAGCTATAAAGGCCACAATCAACCAACTTGACCTCATAGACATATATAGAACACTCCAGCCAATAGCAGCAAAGTACATTCTTTTCCAATGCACATGTAACATTCTCCAGAACAGACCACATTTTAGGCCACAAAGCAACCCTCAATAAAATCCAAAACATCAAAATGATACAAAGCATTCTTTCGATCAAAATGACATAAAAGTAGAAATCCATAACAGGAAGAGCAAGAAAAAAATGTCAAATAGATGGAAACTGAGTAATACCTTGCTTAAAAACAACTGGGTAATAGAAGAAATCAAAGATGGAATCAAAAAAATCCCAGAATCAAATAAAGAAAACACACCATACTGAAACCTTTGGGACACAGAAAAGACAGTGCTGAGAAGTCAGTTTATAGCAATAAACACATCAAAAAGAAGAACAGGCCAAAATCAAAACATTAGCCCTAAAACTTGAACAAATAGAAAGACAACAGCAAAAGGAGCCTACAGCCACCAGAAGAAAGGAAATAATAAAGACCAGAGCAGAAATAAATGAAATAAAGAATAGAAAAACAATAGAAGGAATCAACAAAACCAGAAGTTGGTTCTTTGAAAGGATCAACAAAATCGACAAACTGGCCAAACTGACAAAAGAAAAACATGAGAGGAAGCAAATAGATAAGAAAAGAGATGGGGGACATTACAACAGAACCAACTGAAATACAAAGGATCATAACAGAGTACTATGAAAAACCGCACTCCAACAAATTAGAAAACCTAGAGGAAATGGACAAATTTCTAGAAACACTCTACCTGCTAATGCACCACCTACTAACACAAACTGAGGTAGAAAATCTGAACAGACTTATAACAAGGGAAGAGACTGAAGAGGTAATTAAAAAAAAAAAAAACCTCCCAATGAAAAATGTCCTGGCCCAGAGGGCTGCACTGGAGAATTCTAACAAACATTCAGAGAAGAGCTCACACCAGTACTACTCAAACTATTTCAGAACATAGAAAAGGAAGGGATACTTCAAAATTCATTCTATGAAGCCAGCATAACCCTGATACCAAAACTAGGCAAAGACACCACAAAAAAAGAAAATTACAGACCAATAGCTCTCATGAATATAGATGCAAAAAT